GCCATCAGAGCGCATGTGTGAAGACACTGAGCCAGCCTGTTCAGCTGAGTTCAGCTATTTGAAAGAGGGCTAGTGGTTCCTGGAATTCTGATCACTTTGCAGTCACTTCTTAAACCCGTGCCCTTGATTTGCATAGGCAGGTAGTGGCTCTAGGAATGGTGGTTCTGTTGGCCCTCACCATCCTGTTGTGGTTGCTAGTGCTGTCGAGTGGCTCCGACATATAGTGGCAACTCACAGCACAGCAGAATGACCCACCGCTGAGTCCTGGGCTGCCCCCACAATTCTCGCCCCGTGGGAACCTCCTGGGGCAGCCTCTGTGTCTCTCCATCTCATTGAGGCCCTTTCTGCTTCTCACCGACCTTCTGTTTCACCAACCATCATGCCCTCAGTTGCTGTTTTTCTTGTCACCACGCATTGGTTCCAACCCATATCGACCCTGTGGACAAGGGAACAAAGCACCGTCTGGTCTGTGTCATCCCCACAATGGTTCCTATCCTTGAGCCCATCGTTGCAGCCACAGTGTCATCCAGTCTCTTCCTTTTTAACTCTGCCCAAAACACACGAGACAGCGTCGAACCTCTAAGGAGCACTCTGGCTGTTCTTTCAAGACGAATGTGTTCATCCTTCTCACATTCCGCGCTGTATGCAGCATTCTCCGCCAACACCAGGATTCAGATGCATTGCTGCTTCTCCAGGCCTCCCTGTTCACCTCCCCGCCTGATCCACTATTTGGGAAGCTGCTCAACTGTCCGTTGGAATTGGGTCACTTCCCTCACGGATCCCATGACAGGACTAAGATTCTGGGTTGGTATCTTCTTGGTCAGCTTATTCTCATTCTATATCCCAGTGATAGACCTGGAAAAAAGTGTAGGGATACACCCCCTTCTACAAGCATTTATTGAGCACCTGCACTGGGCTAGGAGCTTGCCGTTGGGACATTTATGGGCTAGCCTCGTTATGTATGGCTCCCATTGACAGCACTGAGAGCCTTTCCCACAAAGAAAGACTGACTACCTTCCGGGAATCCGGCCCCCCAGGAGACCCTCACAACTGACCCTTCTAACCCTTTCATCCAAAATGCATTCTGTTTGATTTGGGGTTCCCCAAGTATCACGGGCTGCTAGTAAGATTGGGTATATAAATGCCACAAACGTGGCTCTTCTCCACAAACTTGTCCCTGAGAACCAGTGCCTTCCAGGCTGGGGCACCAATGCCCATTCCAGATTCAAGCCTCTTCCCCTTCCTGGTCCCTTCTTGCATTACCCAGTTACCTTCCTCCACACCCTAAACACAACTTCTTCCTCAAGACACTTGACTGCCACCTGGTGGCAATTTGCCTCGGTGACGTGAGAAATCCTCCAGGAGCTGTGCCCATGCTGCGTGCGTGGCCCTGCCTGCCTCACTGATTGCGCTGTCTCATTCTGATCTAAGTGGTGTCTCTCCCAATAGATTGAGGGTATCTTGAGCATCAGGGCTGCCCATCTCCCTGTGTCCCCAGTGCCCTGGCATGGCCAGGAAAGACAGAAATGCTCTCCGAATGACCCTGGTCCAAGCATCCATGACCTTAGGCTCAAGCACCTGGTCTCACAAGGTGAGTGTTCTCTAAGTTCATCTGTCACAAGGCCAGGCGCCTCTGCTCAGAGCCCCCATGTTGGAGCAACTCAGCATTCGTGTCCCCGTCAGATACTAGCACGGTGTAGGAGAGCAGGGGCCAGGCCATGTGCCATGGGTTTGGGGGATGACGAGAAAAGCATTTCCTATGAGCATGTACTGTGTCCGGGCTGGTGCCTGGCAGGGTGCAGACATGACCACCCGAGAGTGGTCCTCGGGGAGATGGGCATTTGTTGGATCAGGAAGCACACTGTTTCCAAAGTGTTCATTCACAGCTGCCTGCGTTTCCCTGGGTGCCATGTCCTTTTCTTAAGGGACATCAATGAAGGCCATTTCCCCAAGCATCTTGGGCGTACAGAGTACCCTCAGCAGAACTCCATTCAGATTTTGCACCGGGGGCATAGACAGAAGGGGGGTCAGGCTTTCGCTGAGACCCCATTGTAAAACGGAGGAAGCCCCGCCTTTCCACAGAGCTCCTTTTTTGGCACAGGGTTGCTCAGACCCTGCCCAGTGAAGCTCCTGGAGCACAGCTACCTCTCCTCTCTCAGGTCTGTCCTGATGACCCGAGACGTGTCCTGGGTTGAAACCGCGAGCACTGAATTACCCTCTCCACCCTCACTACAAGGAAGCTCAGAAAGAACATATTTCCTCCGTTTCCGCTGCTTTTCCTGACCCTGCATTTCTTCTTTCACTTCCTTGTTCCCCCGCCTTCCTTCCCAACAACCCAGACCTGACTCACTGCCATGGAGTCAGTGCCGACCGGAGCCGCCCTGTAGGACAGGCTGGCACTGCCCCTGTGGGTCTCCAAGACTCCAGCTGTCCTACAGGAGTAGACAGCCCGTCGTTCTCCACCAGAGGTGCTGGTGGTTCACATCGCGGACCTTGCAGATGGAACACAGCCCCAGGCACCACCTCTAAGGCACCCGGCTCCTCCTCCCTTCCCCAGGATGGCTGGCTTTTGTTTTGCTCAGAGCATGGCACTTGGTGGGAGTCTGGTTTCATTTTCTGCTAGCTGGGTGGTCTTCAGCAAGATAGCTTTGACTCTTCAGTGCTCAGTGCCCTCAATGGCAGGTTGGGATGAGGATGACGATGGACAGGCTCAGCCTGCCAGCCTTCCCACCTCTCACTGGACCCAGGCCAGGATGGGTCCGCAGCTCTAGGATTCTTGTCTGTCTTTGCTGCGGCTTCCCCGTGTGGGTCAGATCACAACGAGATAGTGACAAGGTGGTTGTAACTGAGGTGACCTTCAGCGTGACCAGTCACTGCGGTGCGCACCATCTCAAGGACTTACAGTTACAGCCACTTGTTTTTGTTGTTTTATTTTCTTTACTGATCTTTAAGACTGCCTTTTGAAAAGAATAATAATCTGTAATGTATCAAGGGGCCACCTGGGGGGGAGGCTGAGGGCGGGGAGGGGAACAAAGAGGAGCTGATACTAAGGGTTCAAATAGAAAGAAAATGTTTTGAAAACGATGATGGCAACATATGTACAAGTATGCTTGATACAATGGATGTATGGATTATTATGAGATCTGCAAGAGCCTCCAATAAAATGAGATATACATATCTCAAAAAAGACTGCCTCTGGGAACAATAACTGTGCTCCCCAAACAATTCTGTGTTACAGCAATTCACTTTCATCTCCTTGTCAAAGCCTGTGGGGAGCGGCATGGACGGGCCGGGGTGGGGCAGAAGCAGGCCATGCTGAGGTGCCGTGGCCGTGGCCGCAGAGGCACAGAACGCTTCCTCCGTGGGCTGAAGGCAGACGGCGAGTGGGGTGGGAGCAGGAGCAGCACAGGAGACTGGCAGGGATGGGCAGAGGGAACCACAGTGACCAGATAGGGGTTCAGCCATGCAGGGTGCTGGAGGGACCTGGAGAGAATCTCCCAGAGGGAATCACGTGGGTTAATCCCCCAGCAGCACTGCCCCAAGGTCTCTCTGTCCATGGATCTCAGTTTAAAGACCACAAGGGCCAAACTCGTGGCCAAGTTGTTTGTCCACGCTCAGACCCTGCAGGGTTAGCAGAGCCAGGCTGTGAGAGGCGCTGCTCCTCCCTCTTGTGAATCCGGTTGCAAAGAGGAGTATTCATTGGAAGGGCACAGTCAGTTCCAGTCCTGGACGTCCACTTGAAGACCTGTACAGCGCTCAGGACAGAGGTCGCAAAATCCAAAGGCTGCAGCAGTTAAACTACTAGCTGCCTGCAGGGTCAGCTAGCTGTGGGAGAAACTCCAGACTCGGGTTGGGGAAGATCAGGGGAGCCCCCATTTAAAATCAACGTCTTACCATCTCAAGCGGAGAAGGGATGGAGGCTGTGAGGCCCCTGGCTCCCTTTATAGCCAGTTCTCCAGACACAGCAATCCTGGGAGGGTCGGCAGACAGACAGGAGGCCCCGGGCCCCTGTAGCAGGGGGTGCGGGGGGGGGGGGGGGGGGGGGGGGGGGGGGGGGGGGGGGGGGGGGGGGGGGGGGGGGGGGGGGGGGGGGGGGGGGGGGCGGGGGGAGTGCTGCTGCTGGGTTAGCCCTAGCCCCCTTTCTGAGCCCATTGCTCTCAGCTCCGTGTGCGTCCTAATGGATGGAAGCATAATGAACATCTTCCTGAACCATCTTCGCGCTCTCCTGGCAGTTAGTTTTGTGGATTAGCCCGCCTTGCGTTTTGATCCAATGTTTTAAATTTTTTCTTTTCCTGTGGTTCCATTCTTCCTTGTCAGGCAACTGACAGCCACTGGGAAGGGAGTTGAGTCGCCTCTTGTCCATCGAGTGGATGCTCTGGGCTCCCACCACTCGTCAGCTGGGTGGCCTTGATGAATGGCCCGGCCTCTCTGTGCCCCAGTCATCTCATCTGAAAACGGGGAAAGTAACTGTATCCCCCTCACAAGAGTTCTTCCCAGGGCTAAGACACTTCCTCCATGGGGACCAATAGCAAGGGTATCTGGATACAGTAAGGCCCAACCAGTGTTGGCCAGTGTCAGGAGGTGTGCACACTGCAGCTCCTTTCCTTCTCAGTGGCGTGTGCAAGCATCTCTTGTAGTAATCCACGTGCCGTTTCTTCACAGACAATCTCTCCCTCGGGAGTCCTTCATATCTTTGGCAGTTGAGGCTTACCAAGGAGCGGAAGGATCGCCAAACAGCCTCCTGAGCATTTTCTTCAAGGCCCTCTGCCTCTCCTGTCTAGTCTTGGCCCTGTTGACCTCTGGGTTTCACGTTGTCTAGAAGACTCGCCACTCTTCCCGGGTCCTGTCATCTGCAGAGCTGGGGCGTGTGGCTCACATGTGGAGCTGAGCCCAAGCAGCCTTCACGCCGTGTCATGGATTCGGCTACGTTCCCGAGCTGAGGTGAGGTTTTAACATTTGCCCCAAGTGACCTGTCTCGGCTTTCTTTTCCCGTGCCATAGGTGTTGGGAAGAAGCTGACTGCCCGAACAGGGACTACAAAACATGAGAATCTCTGTGAGGTGACCAGCGCGTCCTGCGGCTGTTCCTCCCAGGCCGGACCTGCGGCTCGAGAACCGTCATTTCAGGTAATGAGCGAATCCTCTCTCTTGGCAATATTGATCCCTGGCACTAGGATAGTCAAGCATCTCACCATCTGTGCTACCCAGCCACTCCAGCCGGAAGAAAACGGGGTAAACTGTGTTTGTCCTCCCAAATGGAAGTTCCTTCCAAACTCTTGTTCTTTTCCTATGGGAGTGATCTACTGGGAAGGGGGAAATTGAGGAAGCAGGCGGGATGGCACCCCGAGGGGTTATCTTGCTCAGGCCGGCGCGGTGAGGTTCAGCACCAGTGGGAGGTGGTGGCCTAAGCAGGAGCACTCACTTGGGCTGGTAGACGTGATCACTGAACACCCTTCTCAGAACAGTCAGGGGCCAAGTTAGCAGCCGAGAGGGAGGTCTGCGGAGAGAAGGGAAGGGAGGGCTGAGGTCTCTAGAAGCAGAGTGGGAGAGTAAGTGGCCCCAGGGAGTACTGGCAGCGGGGAGGGCCTCGGAGGGGAGAGGGCATGGGTTTCACTGGCTGCTCCTATCTCGGACACTAGTCTATGATGATCCCCACTGTTTGCACTGGCTGGCCTTCCAGCGTGGAGTCTGTCTTCATCTCAGCAACGACTCCCCCTGCCCGCCCCAATCCGGCATATTACTATGATGCTGGAAGGCATGCCTCCAGCTTTTCCAAGTACCAGCAGGTGCAGAGGCTTCAGCAGAGCTGCCACACCCAGCCCCAGCCCCGCTAGGCAGGCAGGTAGGGAAAAAGGACATGAACAGGCCCAGAAGGAACCCAGAGAAATGCCTATACACTTATAAACACTACCAGAAGGAATTTTTAAAAATACCCGTTGGGGCTGGGAATTATTGAATCTGTTCCAGAGGATAGTGTTTCTATGTGTGCCAAAATGCTGTCCGTGTGCCCTTTGACCTCTCAGTCCCACCTGCCAGAATTTATTCTGGGCCACGGTGGCCCGGGAGCACAGAGATGCGCGGGGGTTGGGAGGTGAAAACGTGGGCATGTCTGCCCACACCAAAGTAGACCACACCTGCTGCCATCAAGCTGGTCCCATCTCAGACGACTCGTCAGGGTCTTTACGACTGCCACTCTTTACGGGAGCAGACAGGCTCATCTGTCCCCCACCCCTCCACCCCCGCCGGCCTGACTTGGCCACAGCTCCCCCAGGCGCCTGAGGAGTCCTAGCAAACCTCCAGCTCCCAATTCCTGGGGCACCAGTCCCTGGTCCTGGGGCCTCCTTGTCTTTGTGCTTGTCCTGAACCGAAGCATTGAATCCTGACTGCCTCCGTAGCTGTCCGTAGTGATCAGTGTCCCCATAATACAGGCAGAGAAACAGAGGCGCAGCGATGTCAAACGTGCCCACGGTCACGCGGCTCGCAAGCCATAGCACCAAAATTCCAATGCTGCCCAGCCATGAACAATTATGACCTCGTTCTGTATTCATTGACAGAGCGCAATGAATGTCTGGGAGGCAGGGAAACAGTTTTCCCAGGATCACACAGCAGCATGTATATAGCAGAGCTGGGACTCGACCCGAGGTCTGTTCAGTGCTACAGTCCAAGCCACTGGTGTCAGGCCAGGCCAATTCTGCAGGCCTGGGGGAGCTGGAGGGCACCGCAGACAGAGGCCTCAACCAGCGCCCGTGTTTCACAGGTGGCAGGAGACCGTGCCAGGGCATGTCCAAATACCAGAGGCCTCACCGACTCCTGCCTCGTGCCACTTCCCCAGAGAAGTGTGACTTCCTGGATCTGGGCGCACCTTTCCTGCTTGCTCCTTCTCAGGCTGCCGGGCCCCACTCTGTTTCTACACACACACACACACACACACACACACACACACACACCCCTGGGAGTCGCACATTTTCTTCCTTGTCCCCTTGACTCTCTGCTGTGCTTTGAGCTCTAGGAACTGGGACCTGACATGAATTTTCTGCCTAGACGGCTTCTCCTTCATCTCCCCAGGACGCTCGAGTCCTAAGTCCTCCCGGGCCTCCTGTTGTCGGCATTCTGGAACCTGGGCCTGGGTAGGCAATGGGGGTCTTCAGCCCCACCCTCTTGTTTTGCAGATGAAGATCCTTGGGCCCAGGGAGAGGGAGTGACAGCCCCCGTGTGTGGCGCTCAGACGCTTGACCGCGGCAGTCGCCGGGTGTGCTGTGGAAGTTGGAGTCCCTTGCCAGGTACTTGTTGGCCTCGTTTTTGGGGCCAACGCAGCCCCATGCTTTCAAAATAGAACGTGGCAGAAGGCTTTGCAGATGGGTTTGCACCGTCTTCATTACTTCATACAAGGCTCCCCACCCTGTTAGGGATTGTCCAGGACTGAGTGGGTGCTCAGGGCCAGCGCCTAGCATGGCTGTGGGGCTCCCAGTTGCTTTCCCCAGTTTCACAGCCCCCACCCCTTCTTGGAACCCCCGAGCTGGCCATGCTGGCCCACATACCCAGACCTTTACCCATGCTGGCCACTCCTTCAGGAATGTCTTCTTCTTCTCTTTAATGTTGCCACTGAGTTGACTTCCACCCATGGTGACTCCCCCTGTGCTTCACAGGCTTGACAGTACCCCATTTGGGGCAAGTCTGTCCCCGGGTTGACTTACAGTCCAGCCTTTGGGTGTAACCATTTGCACACGGGGACTGCCTTTAGAAGTGCGGAAGAAGTCAGCAGACATGGTATCTGGCTTGCTGCAGGCCCTTCCTTCCACTGAGCAACTATCAGGACAGATGTGCTAGGGTGTGAACAATACCCCCACCCCACACAGACACCACCACCACCACCACCACCACCACCACACACACACACACACACACACACCGGCCCTCACCCACTTTAAAATCTTTAGTTGAAATGAACCTGCCTCTGTGCCTCCCCTTATAACCATTCCAGAACACCCAAATATGGCAGACCAGAGAATGGACATTTCTTCAACAATCAGTGACTTCATGTCCCCAGGGCCCACCGACCTTCTCTCCAGCTCCCTCGGCACCAGCAGCATGGACTGCAATCGCAAACGGAAGGGCAGCTGCACGGACTACCAGTAAGGCCTCTAGCCTCCTCTTGCTCGGGTTCCCACTTGGTGTCAGACCATGGGCACGGAGCGCCTGCTTCTCTTCCTCGGGTGGGAAAGGCTGGGAGTAGAGCAGACGTCAGGTGGCAGAGCAACCTGGTTGCTTTGTCTCCGCCATCCCCACAACCTTCTCCTGCTCCCACTACCCAACTCCCAGCCTTCAGTCTAGGAGGGAGCCTCTAGCAATGCTGGGGTCTTAGCGTGCCCCCAGCCCTATTTTCCACAAGAATGGAAGAAGAGCAGCTTTACAGTCAAGTCCTCTCTCCTCTGCTCTTCATCCCCCTCTGTCCCGTTGAGTAAGAGGACTAAGGCTGTGTATGCAATCTCGCTGACAAAGACAGCATACACCAGGTGCTTAATTCATGGTTGTGCACTGAATGAATGAGTGAATGGAGGTTGTCACTGAATGCAGGATCGGAACAGGGCTGTGGTCTTGAAGCATGATTTAAATTAGCATATGCTTGGTGTATTAAATACCGTATATACTCAAGTGTAAGCCAACCCGAATATCAGCCAAGGCACCTCATTTTACCACAAAAACTGCATTTAAAATAGGCTGAAAAACTCGGCTTATACTTGAGTATATACGGTAGTATTTTTGTTTCTTTTTAGTCTTGATGACTTTTCTTTTGAGTACGTAAATTTTCACACTTAGAGTCAGCTCCCCTCTCTCTGTACAAACACCCAGTGCTCTCTGGAGGCACACTTTGTTTTTGCCGAGGCAACCGTGTACAATCCTATCCAACTGTGCACTGAAGAGGTTTTCTGTTGTTTTAATGAGGGAAAATCTCCCAGGAGGTGTCCCCACTACAGCAGATGTCCTTTCTGCTGAAGTTCACAGGTCGAATTTGGGGAGCCCAGTGGCTGGAGGTCAGATGCCCACTAGGAGATGCTATGAGTAATATGTAAGTTATCCCAGATAATCAAGAGAGCAAATGCCCAGGGGATGGAGAGGGTGTGAGGGCCGTGAGTGTCTTCTGCCTCACTCGTACCTTTCCAGCAGAAAGGACCAGGTGGTGGTGTCAGTGAACTCCCCCTGCCGTGGGCAAGTGATGGCGGAGCCACTGGCGTGTCCTAAGACCCCCTGTTACCTGGATCTGTAGCTTCCCACCTTGTTACCACCCGAGGCCTTCATGTTTTCCTCGTGGATGCCAGTGTGCCAACCTTTAGTCCACGGAGACTATGTGCGGTCTCCCTGATGAGCTGCCTGGCCTCCGTGAGCAGGTGCGCTTCCAGGCACAAGGGAGCGGGAGGGGCAGCCTGGGCCCACACGCCTGCGTGGGTTCCTCTCAGCCTTAGGACCAGCGGTAGCAACTCTCTGCCTTGGGCAAACCGAGGGCTCTGGCTGGGGACCACCAGTTCAGAAGGTCCGTGACGTGATGTCGTTCTTTTTGCCCTCGAGATGCGGTTGTTTGCGGAGCCATCTCCTCCTTCCTTTGGGATAAAGGAGAAAGGGGGAGGCGAAGGCAGCGGGCCGCTACCACCTCCCATGGGGGATGCTCCCTGCAATGGTTGTAGATCAGTTTGCTACTGAAACCCAGGGTGTCATGAGACTTGAAAAGGGAGGCTGACCCCTGCCATCACCCCCGAACCCTTGGCAGCCAAGCAGGGTTCAATGCCCCTCGGCCCCACTTCACCCCCAGCCCTCCCTCGAGTGGGTAGGCTGGAAGCCCCAACACTTGGTAGTGGTGCCTAATGAAGAGTTGCCCCGTGGCTCTGCTGGGGACCTCTTTGCTGGTGCCTTGGCTTCCCACTCCTTACGCCACACCCCCCCCCAAATATATATATGTGTGCGCAGGTATATTTGACGCTTGGTGTGTTTACAAGGGGCATATGCTCCATTTATCCAGAATGACGGGGGTGTGGTGGTGCCAGTGGTGGGTAATCCGGAAGCCACATGGGTTTGGGTGGCAGAGCCATCATTTCTTTGTGCTTTTTAAAAGCGACTCTGTGTCACGAATCTGTCCCGTGGCCATCCACGCTTTCTGGATCAATGAGAACCTTCTGTGTCCTGATGAGAGTCTGTCTGTGTGTGTTCAGCAGTGGCTGCCACGTCTCTTGTTTTTCTTTCAGAGAGAGCATGGACACAGACAGAGATGACCCTCATGGAAGGTACCGGTGTCTCCCTAGTCATTTGAACCTCAGGGTCCCTCTGGCCATTCGCTTGGCATGATTACACATCCCATTGCGTAGGCCGGGCCCCACCAGTACGCTCCATGGGGGCAAGCAAGGCGGCCTCCAGCCTGGGACGCAGGATGGCTGCACCCCCACCCTCCGCCAATTGGCTAACAACCACAAGCCCTTGAGTGTGTGTAGGGAGAGGGGGCAGGGGCAAAGCAGGAAAGCATCCCTTTGCCAATCGTGTCCAGGCGTTTTCAGTTTCTGTTTTGTACCTTCCAGGTTAGAGTACACGGAACACCAAGGAAGGATCAAAAATGCAAGGTGAGCTTAGAACTTCATTTGTCTGCAGAGTAACCTGGTTATGGTGACTTTAAGGGCCCCAGACGAAGCTCTGTGTGTCCGGCCATCTGTCCTCTCGTACTGTCATGCCCTTCAGGAGCAGGAAAGAGAGTATATAGGCCTGGGGCCAATGTGGCTGTCTGCCCGGCTGTGCCCACTAGGCTCAGCCAGCCCCCCCTCGTTGCTGAGCATGTTTAGCCTGAAGGGGACTTGGGGGCAGCAGGACACAGCCCAGGTCTGTAGCAGGTTGCTCCTTCCTGCCCCAGGGCCCACCTGAGGAGCTTTGGGAGGGGCCTTTCTTGGGCTGTGTCTCAGTTCCCCAGTGCTGCCATAAGAGAAAAGCCCGTAGTGGATGCCTTGAAAGGACCAGCATTTTTGTCTCGACTAAACATTAAAGTCATTGTCCCGGCCGCGTCCATTCTTTCTGCAGTCCCCCTCCCTGGAGATGGCCGGTTCCTGGCCTTCCTTGCTTTGAGGCAGGCCCTCACATGGTGTCTGTCTTTCCCGGGGGGTGGGGGTGGGGTGCCTGTCCTGCTCTTTTGATAAGACACGGCTCAGAAGTGATTAGGTTTAGGGTTCCCCCTTACTTTGTGATGAGCTCATTAATCAACCACCACCACAAAAATACCTTATTTCCAAATGGGCATCTTTACAGAGGCCGGGTTCGGATCCCTGCTTTGAGTTCGTCAGACACAGTTCACTTAGTAATAGACGGAACATCGTACCCAGAGCCTACAGCGTGGGGATGGCCCACGCCCTTGAGTCGACGCTCTAACTTGGTCCTTGTTGCCTCCACCCACACTGGACCCCTTCCCACATGGGGCACCAGTGCTGTCACGTCACGACCCACAGGGTCAGGGGCCTGCAGGTAGGAGGCTGCTAAGCTGAGACTCCTGCCTTCTCCCTACGCTTCCAGTGCACGCATCGCGCATTCTCGAGAACAGGCACACACACGGGCAGATTGCTGCAGGCGAGAGTGTGCCAGCGCTGGCACCTCCTGGGAGACCAGAGTGTGGTGTTCCTGGGAGGATGGGAAGCCCTTGGGCACAGATAAAGCATCTGCTGTTTCGGGTGGGCCTTTCCTTGTACTGAGGATGGTGGTTCGGACCATGAGCCCCGGCAGGAAAGCCGTAAAGGCCCTCGTCTGGCTGCACAGCGACTTCTTCCCAACCTCAGTGCTGCCCACTGGGGCCCCACAGGGCCCCCAAGGGGGGCTGTTCCCGAAGCCTCCACTGCCCTCCTTCCTTCCACCCTACCCACCCACAAAGACAACGAGGAGGAAACGAGCCATTGGGTTTACTCTGAACAAAATAATGTGTGTAATATTTCTCCTTAATCCCAAGGATAAGGTACACATCCAAATCTCGTACTAGCCTGGGAGCGGGACCACTTTTCGGTGACTCTAGTAGCAAAGCCTAATTGGGAACCTGACGGATCCCTGCAGTCGCCTTGTCCGGGAACGCTTGCCGAGGAGGGCTAACGCTTACCCGTCGTCGTCACGGCCGTGGTCACTGCCCTTGACCGCAGCTCGCGAGAACCCGTTTGCTGTCGTTGCACAGGGAGGCTCACAGTCAGATTGAGAAGCGACGCCGGGACAAAATGAACAGCTTTATCGATGAGTTGGCCTCCCTCGTACCAACATGCAGTGCGATGTCCAGGAAATTAGATAAACTCACCGTCCTGAGGATGGCTGTTCAGCACATGAAAACCCTCCGAGGTGAGAGCCCAGCCCTCACTGTCCTTTGGGTGCTCAGCCCACAATGAATGGTCTCGAGTCTCTGAGGTTACACTTGGATATGTGTAGCCTCGGGGTAGGCGGGGGTGGGGGGT